GCTTACTCATAGCAAAGGTTCCTTTCTTACACTGGAAGACCATAGAATCATAGAATCACAGGATGGTTTGGGTTGGAAGGGACCTTAAAGATCATCCAGTTCCAACCCCCCTGCCATGGGCAGGGACACCTTCCACTAGACCAGGTTGCTCCAAGCCTCATCCAGCCTGGCCTTGGACACTTCCCGGGATGGGGCATCCACAGCTTCTCTGGGCAACCTGTCCCAGTGCCTCACTACGCTCACTGGAAAGAATTTCTTCCTGATATCTAATCTAAACATCCCTGTTTAGATGTTTCCTATGGATGTCACCAAGGACAGTGAGCACCTTTCTACAGTCACCAGAACTGAACAAGCATCAGGTTGCCCACCCAGCACAGACCAGCCACTTACCTGCGTTCCCCAGTGTTTGCCTCAAGAGGCAAAGACCTCACTGACTTCTACCGTACATTCCCATCTTAAGCAAGCTTGCCACACAGCAGCTCTTCTTTAACACTCTGCTTTGCCAGCTTCCTCAACCCCTCTCATATGCAGTTGGACAAGATCGATCTGATTTGAAACCACAGCATTTCACACACTTAATTTCCTTACTTACCTCCCCGCTGTGGGTACAAGGTGGCAAGACTTCCTGTCATCAGGAGAGGAATCTTGGTGGGCCTGTTTTTATGTAGATTTAATCTCATGGCCATCTGATGATATAAACTGTAAAACAGACCCTTGATACCTGTCCATTTAAAGGCACACTGGCTCATGGGCACACTGAGCACATTGGGTTACAGCCTTCAGTTTTTATTTATAACCTCTATATCTGAAGTTCAACCAGATTAGAAGACCTTCCTCCCAAAGCTCCTTCAGTACAGCCCAAACACCCAGAGGAAGAAACTTGCCAAGAAGGCAACTGGAAGATTGCAGGGCCCACTTTGCTCCCTTTTCCTTTGGAGGAAAGAGCACTCTTGCATGGCAGAGCACCATCGCACAGTACCTATTGACTCCCATGAGGTCTTGGGAAGGGACAATACCAGGGGAATGCTCCTTGCGGGCCCCTTCCAGTTCCTTCATATTTTTACTCACTTGAACTCAGCCCTGGCCTCTTTCTGAATCAGTGGTCCACAGAATCTTGTGGTTCATCTGGTTTTCTGCCTCCTTAAATGCTTGTTAGGCACTTTTGTGAGACTTTTATTTTCCTTTTTCCCCGTCCCTACTGAATGACCCCAAGAACAAGGATGAGTAGGGGAAGAAGGGCTGTCTCTGGACATTTAGTGGACAGATCGCTCTGAATGGTGAGAGAAAATATAGATTCACTGTCCTCTTGCAAGCTATGTTGATCAGGCAAAGGTCTGCTACCAAACAACCCTGGTCATATGACTTCCTTCACTTTATATTCCTTTTCCTTGCTTCGTTCTCTCCTAAGTAATTCCTCTTTAGAAGCGTCATCACCTCTCACATACGTGGCCCAAATTGTTCCCTTTTTCTCTATCAGTCCTAGGCTTGTTGACTTCATAGCCTGATTTCATATTTATGGTGTAACTACCCTGGTAACTTCTCCCTTGGTAATCAGCTCTATAAAACTAGTTTTCTTTTCTTATGTAGTGTCCCATCTTTTATGTGTGCTACCTTGATAATGGCACTGTGTACAATCTACTCCCCTGATGCGTCCTGAAAGGCTGTTATCTTTTTTTTAGTGGTGCCACAGATAAGGATTAGCCATCTGGGTTAATGTCTTAACAGGATGGGACTTCATGCTGCCAGAGTCTAAACAAGCACCGTGACTAAGGCTGTTGAATGACCCATCCAGAAGACCTGGCCATGGGTAGCTGAAATGGGAAAGGTGAACCCGGTTTTATGGGGAAGTGGTCATCTGAGTTAGATTCCAAGACAGCGAGATGATGATCTTCAAAGAAAACAGGAAGGGCCATACATTGCTATGGGACTGGCCCTGCATTTTCCAGATGGGGAGGGGGCAGGAAAGTGGTTCCATGTATCATACCTAGAGAGAGAGTAATTTCTGATTGTTTACAGAAAAAAGATTAACACTGAGTAGTGGCACAAGATAGAAAATAGTAAAGAAAGTGTAGTTAAGATGGAATTTATAGTGGGATGTCTGGCTACACAAACAAAATAAAAAAAGGGGGGGTGGACCATTACAATTCAGAGAGAGAGATGACAATGAAAAGGACACTGACTGCAGAAATGTACACTAGCATGAAAAATATCTTTGTCTAAAGGGGACATGGAGAAATATGAAGTAACAAACGAAGTAAGAAAGACAAAAACAG